GAATACGATATTGTGACGGTGCCATACCTCTTCATTCAATTCTTCAACCCATTCCTCACCGAAGGGGCAACCGAGAGACAAGATAAACATCCTACTTATTTACGTACTTACTTCATGCGGTGCGTTAGCAACTGCCTGCTCTGTTTTTTTTGCCACCGGCTTTTTTTTTTGACTTTGCTCATTGCCACCTTTGCCATAAGAGCTTTTTTTTTTTTTTGTCACCGACTTTGCTCGTTGCCACCCCTGCCATAGGAACGAGTGCTTTGATGCTATAACTCAAATCGCTCGACACAAAGAGCTCTCCCGTCCCAACTAGTGACGCCTTCTTTCTCGCTTGCTAGCTAACGGTTGCTTCAGACTAAGCTCGGTCAAGACAAAAACTTTATTATCGCATGCTTTTTTTCGTTGCTAGCTAGCGGTGTGGGAAGATGTGAACCAATTGAGTTAAATTCCAAGAGTGAACCAATTGGCAACTCGATCTTACAGGTTACCTTTCCTATGCATTCAATGCTTTTGTAAGGCCCACAACATTCCAGAGCAAGTTTATTGGCCCATGGATTGCCACTAATATTTGGCTATATGGTTGCAATCTGTTGCTTTATATGATTTTAGGCTAAATGCAAGTTTTCTTTCAAAACATGTAAGATGTAGTCATGGTTTCGCAATTTTAAGTGATCAGCCAGGATGTTGGTGCTACATGGAATATAAGATGTAACTTTTGGTTGTTGTTTCCCATATTCTATCTCATCACAATTACTTCTAGTCATTAAATGTCAAATTGGATGGTTTTGATGGACAAGAGTGATTGTATCCTTCTTGTACCCAATCTAAATTTTGATGGACACGAGTGATTGTATCCTTATTGTACCAAAAGTAAATGGTCGTATATATTTTTTAATTTAGGTTAGTGTGAAACAAAGCATCAAAAATAAGTCTCCAAGCATTTGTTGACCAACTTAGCTTGGGCATCTATTTGAGGATGATAAGCTCAACTTGTGTTCAATTGTCCCTTGTAATTGAAATAATTCATGCAAAAAATTGCTCATCAAATAGGGTCATGATCATTTACAATGGTCGGATGCATCCCATGTAGCTTGCATATGTTGTCAAGGAACACTTGAGCTATTGAGGCAGTTGTATAATGACATGAAAGGGCATGGAAGTGGGTATTTTTGCTCACCCAGTCCACCGCAATGAAGATAATCATCTTCCCATGGATTTTGGGAGACCTGTTAGGGTTTAAGAACCCTCTTAGATATGGAAACATGAATCCAAAAGTTGGATCTTACCAAAATAGTGTACTTATCCAGCTAGAAACAAAATAGGAGAGAGTACGAGCAATAATACAATAAATAAAACATAAAACAAGCATGCTACAAGAGCACAATGATTTACGTGGTTCACTCAATAAGGGTTACATTTACAGGCACAGTAAATTGAAATCTAAAATACCAATGAAAGTTACGTCATAGATTTTAAGATATAGAGTTACTTCTTTAACCCTCAACAAAACTCAGTCGAACAAACCCTTTTAGACCCACTCTCATGATAGCACAACTCGCCGATCTTTCATCTCAATTTCAATGCTAAACTACTGTCTAGGAAGAGACTCATATCTATTCTACGGCTAAACCGCTGTCAAGGAAGAGACCCTTAAAAGCAACCGAGACTTTCTCATATACATGGCTTTCTTCTCTCTAAGGGGAGGACTTGCCTCTCATGCATTGCCTCTCATGCACAGGAGGCCCCTCGCCCCCCCCCCCCCCCCCCTCCCCCCACCCGTCCCCTCCCCCTCCCCTCCCCACCCCTCCCCTCTCTCTCTCTAGGAAGTCACATTTCTCATAATTCATACTAAATAATAAACTTCATATAGATATTGCATTTATCTTAAGAGATATACCCCAAGAGTCCTACTTTTTTAAATTTTTATGTTTTTTAAGAAACTTGTCATTATCAATCCTAATCCCATATAATACGGGATTTCTTTATGTGGGTGATTTTGGATATCACCATATTCAACAAGGCATCAATAAAATCTATTGAGATATCACTCTAAGTCTGTGTGAGAAAGGAAAGGGATTGTAATAATCCATGCAACCCTATGGTCTCTCCCTTTTGCCTCTGATACATATCACTTTCAATTATGTACTTGTTTTCTACTTGATTCCTTTCCACAAAAAGGGCCTAAGGATTCTCTTCTAAGTTTTGAGGAATTCCAAATGGTTTGCAATGGGGGACTCATGCAACTCTTTCAACAATATGCTTCTATGGGCTAAGGTAGGTGCCAACACTATCCTACCCTGGTAGAACAACACGCCATCCCTACAAGTATAACTGGGCCTTGCCATGGAGTTCCATCAGCTACCCATTCTCACTTAATGATCCTCCATCCATTGAGTTTGCGCCATCGATATAGCAAGGAGAGTAGCTGCCTCGTCACGATGTCGCGAGAGAGCATCAGCCACCGTATTCTCTTTCCCTTTTCCATATACTATCTCATGCTTATAGCTCATAAGTTTTGTAACCCACTTTTGTTGCTCTACGTAGAGATTCTTTGTTTCATGAAATGTTTTAAGCTTTGATGATCCATACAAATGGTGAATTGTCACCCATTGCCATTTGGTAATTGCATGAATAATAGCTAGATTCTCCATTTTATATGTGGAAAGTGCCAAATTCGTACCAGAAATAGCCTTAGTAATGAAAGCCAATGGTTGCTCCTATTCTTGTTCCCAAGGCATCCATTTCTATAATGAATGGTTTTGAGTGCTCATTGCTCTCTTCAAAGCATCAAAGGCTGAGTCAACTTTAGAGTCTTATGCAAAAGTTTTACTGTCGACTGAATTCAAGAGGGGGCATGGCATTGACTTCTTCGATATCCAGTGAGTCCCAAGAAACCACAAAAACTGTTTTAAGGTTTTCTGGATAGACCAGCTTACCATGCTCTTAAATTTTTTAGGGTCTGCCTTGACTCATTCATTATTTATGATGTGAACCAATTACTCGACCTCTTATTGCTCGAATGAGCACTTAGAGCTCTTGTGAACTTTGATGGTAGTTACTTTGGTAACCCAGGTCCAATTATTATTGTGGAGTTCTCAAGGATCACTCAAGGCACTATTTGGTCATGTACTCCGGACCATTTGATACATGTTCACCTAATAACAAAAATAGTGGTGCCATTTATCAAAAAGCATTCGAGATTCAAAATATATTCATATTTAGTTTTTAAAATTCTAGCAAAGGACACTAATAGGTTACAATTTTTAGGAGGCATGTTTCAAATTTTACACCTCCTACCAAAGTTAAGTAGCTTTCAGGAATACTACTTGTACAGCGAGAAAGCGATGATGCTTTACGGTTGCAAAATTGTTTCATCTGACATGGACTGCATTTCTACATTTGCGGTCCTCAAGGTATAAAGCATCCATTTTAAAGATGGATGCAAATGGGTGGTCCATTTAAAAACAATTGAAACTAACTGTCCAAATATTTTCTTAATAAATATATTATTTTTAATTTTCAAAATTGATTTATTTATTCATATTCATGATCTCTATGTTAAAGATTACATGTCTTTGAAACTCAAGTCCAAAAATTCATCTCAAAAATATATTTTTAAGATGCGGGTCACTTCTACATTGACTCATAAAACCGTAGCTAGGAATATTTATAAGATCTCAATTTTTTTGAGATTAGGTGCTTAACCTAGAGAGAGGAAAATAAACGTCACTTCATGAAAGGGCCATGCCTTAGGAATGGGATGATTATGATAAACTTTCTCCCCATCTTGAATGCTTTTACATAAATTTCACTTAAAATGAATATACTTTTTAGGTACCCGAATCCCTAGATTTAGACGGTTTGTATGCAATTTTAGGGCTTATTTTTTTCAAGAAATTCTAAAGTGCATCTTGAAGTTTTTTTTTTGTTTTTTAGGTTGGTCGCAAGGAGAATAGATAACTTCTTGAAAATCCAAATGCCCATGAGTTTTTGCAATGTGCATGGCTAGACTTTAGGCGATTGTATAATTTGAAAATTTATTTTTGGTATAAGGAGGTCACACTTATTTTAAGCCATTGGATGTCAAATTCAATAGATTGAAATGTTTCAAAACATTTGATAAATTTTATTTTGGACATCGTGCCGAATCAATCATCATCAACTACTTGATTTCACATCCAATGGTTAATAATTATTGTGATATTTTGTATAAAAAATAAATGGTTTCATTGTATATATTTTCTATATTTATTTGTAAAAGTGGCTTAAGAGAATTACCGCTTTTAATATACGTTTTCTGAAAAATACAGCTTTTTGGTAAAATGGGTTCAAAATTTCCGGGCTGGGGTATGTTAAAACCATTAATCACTAAAATGTGGTTGAAAAAGTTCATCCGATATAAAATTAATTAGTTTTCTTGAAGACATTCAATAGTTGTTGGAGACGTTATCTTCATTCTATGAACTTCATTAGTTTTCTTGAAGACATTCAATATTTGTTGGAGACGTTATCTCATTCTATGAACTTCATTAACAAATCGACCACACATTTCATTAAATTTGGTTGCTTTCTGTGCAAGTTGTAGCGCCTCTTGGTTCAGTCTCACTAATCAACGGGCTAGAGTCACTTGAGCCGGTCTATGATCGGGGCTTCGGCCAGGGCCTCTTTGGCCTGGTCCGGGCCTGGGTGCCCCTATGGCGACTAGGCTTGGTTGGCCCAGCCCATTGCCAGCCTTAATGTATCCTTTCACTCTAATAATTCAATAACAGGAATCAAACTTGAGATGCAGTGTTGCTGAAGTCAACTACTAGGCACTCAAGCCCAAACCCATGCCCAAGCCCGATTTATAACATGGTGGATTATCGATACCGCTCACCATGGTCCCTTAATTTCTTCTATTTACTCATGAAGTAATTTCTTCTATTTACTCATGAAGTCTGAGTCTCTTGACTTCCAAAGTTCACATAACCTATGCCTCCAAATATCATTATTTACTTTTAAGATCACAAAAGAAAGTCATTTTATTAATTTAAGGAAAGTAAACTTTCCCAGCACAAATATACCTTCATTAGAAAGTATAGAGCACAATAATACAACGCATTCATCTCAAACGAAAAAGGGGAAAAAATACAAAAAAGAAGAAGAAGCTTGTAGTGAAAAATTCCAAAGAAAAATATGAAAGGGCACAGCACAAGCAATAGAAGGCCTAGTTGTTGTACATGGTTTGATTCATTGGTGGCTTCATAGCAGCTTGGGCCTGCTGCTGCTGCTGCATGAGAGCCATGTTTCCATGCCATCCTGAGATTTATATCAACAAAAATATTAGTATTTTAGGGTTATAAAAAATAATAAATTGCCTAATCCTACATAATCACATTCTTTGTGGGGATTACATTCAAACTCAGTAAATAAGTATGTGTGAGAGAGAGAGAGAGAGAGTTACCGAGGGCAGGATCGAAACCCCGATTCTTGAGTTCCCGGTACTCCTGACACAACGCGCACCACTCGCACAGGAAATGCGAGACCCAATCGGGAGCCGGGGCCTCGACGAGCTCATACTTGGCCCTAAGCTTAGTCCGATATGTGCACGACAAGAGGCACGGCAAGCCAATGCAACAGGCGATACCCGCGTACATGATCCCACTGGTAGTGCACGCTACAAACTCGATACCCCATGCAACACAAGTGCAAGAGATCAGCACTTAACAAGGTACTAAACATAGCAAATAAATGCAAACTGGTGAATAAATTATCAAACAAGGATGAAAAATAATTTCATTTTGGTCCATATTTTTATGGGGTGCTCACTTGTGCGACCCTCATCCACTATCTCCGCAATTTGGGCGAAAGTCAGGCATGGGAAAAGAGCGGTAATAAGTGCTGCGAAATGCAATACAATACACAAATAAGTACAATACACAAATAAGTACAGAATGAAGCGTTAAAAATAGGAAAAATGTTTATACAACGTTGTGACCTTATGGCATGGAAGTCAAGTGGACCTTAAAATTATAGTAGAAAAGAGTTTTTGGAAGTTGGAAAACCCTTCAATTGATCATATCGACTTCGAGATATATTATAAAGATAAAAGAATTTTAAGTCCTACAAATAGTCCATCTTGAAACAAATTATCAGGACCGTCTATTTTCAAGATTTTGATACGTTTATAGATACGCTCAATCTTCACAGTTTTTGGAATTTTATCTTCTACCAAAATTTAAAAATGCTTCTTAATTGTATAGTTTAAGGTAGTGTTCAAGAAATCAAACCGACGTCGAAACCGGCCAATGGCCAGTTCCAAGTAATTGGTAAACCGACCTAAACAGCATGTCCCGGCCGGTCCAAAAAGTAAAAATTATAAAAAAAATTTAAAATATGAAAAATATATTTAAAGCATGATTAAGTAAAGTACATCCAAATGAAGTTGAAAATCAGTAAAAAAAAATGATTTTTTTTTTCCCAAGGGTATTTTTAATTTTTTTTTTAAAAGTAGGAAATATAAAAATAATTATTCATGACGAGTAACACTTTACAATCTTTGCGAAAACGATAAAAAAATTTCAAAAATACATTATAGATCAAGTTTATTCAAAGTTTTTTGAACTTTTTAATAATACTCGGTTGGATCACCGAAACCGGACAAAATTGGAGCGGCGAATGCCCTGTTCCCGTTTGATTAGGTGGTTCTGAGTTGGACTTGCGGAGTTTGCTAACGCTTTTTAAATTTCTCACCCTTAAAACATAAGCTCCAATGCATTTTTTCAATGAAAAAATGATCTCTTTCTTTGGGGACAAAGGCTGCAGGCCAACTTTTTGTTTGGTTCTCACTACTTGCTACGGTGCCGACAAATCTGGGATTCGGAAATTTATACTCCGAAATGAAGACAAATGTTGCTGCATTGAAATTCCTTTGGCAAGAATAGTTCTTCAATACACCCTTTTTTTTTTTTTACCTTTCAATAACAATTTCGAGAAGATAAAAAGCTGTGTGTTAAAACAAATGTTATATAGTATTAAAATGGATTAAGACTCATTATACGTAAGCATTCAAAAAAAAAAAAAAGCAAAACTCATTTTTTTTCTTTATTTGCTAAATCTAGATCTCTCCTAACAATTTTTCTTCCAACTTTTTAACTTTGATGCTCCTATAAATCTGTATTTAGAATTAATCGTAAGGTTAATTTTCAGATAACACGAACATAAAAACAATTGAATAGGAAAGAACGCCCTGGTGATATCAAGGAGACTTTATTCCTCAGAAATTCCAACAGTATTTTTTTTTTTTTTTAAAAAAAAAAAAAAGGAGCTTGTATACCGTTCATCGGATCGTCGCAACAACTGAAGATGTCGGAAGACCAAGGCACGGTTGCAGGTCTCTGCCCGTACATCGCCGGAGGCAGGTGGACGGGCATCTGCATGGGACATCCGGGAGCTGGAGGAAATGGCCTGGCAGGGTAAGCCGCAGGCTGCGGTGCATAACCCTCCGGTGGGGGAAACGCCTGCAGGGCAGGTTGTTGGTTCGGTGGCGGAAAAGCCACCGGCTGAGGAGGTGGTGGAGAAGGTTGAGGGTTTGTAGAGAGATTTTCTGGGGGGTAAGCTGGGGTTGTGTATGGTTGTGGAGGTGGCTGAAAGTTTTCTTGGGGCTGGGGTGGTGGATTGGTTTGTGGTTGAGGAGGGTAGGGGGATGAAGAAGGGTCTGTTTGGGGCCGCCCCATATTGTGAATAAACACTTAAAACTAGTTAAGTGTTAATGGGGAAATGCATGTTTAGATGAAGGAGAAAGAGGGGTTCTTATAGTGTGGGGGTTAGAGATGGATGATAAATATCTTCATTTTAGAAAAGACAGATTCGTCCAGATTTTGTGAGAAAGTCCAAGTATTCAAAGTCTCTGAAAATTGCAGCCTACATTATTTTGTAACATTTTCATACCTCTTTTTCCTCTTTCAATCTTGTTACGTTATTAAGGAAAATTACATGGGGAAAATAATTCATCTATGCCTAGTGGTCTCTCAGTTTCTGTTTCAAGCTCTCTAAAACATGTCCAAAACTATTTGTTTGTATGCATACTCCTGGGTGTATTTTCCCAATAATTTGAATAAAGTTGTATTCAAGTGCAATCCTTTAGAAAATCCATGGATTTAGGATATGAAATCCATCCTGGTTCATCCAGAATATTTCAGCATTAAATTTGTCATCTTGTAGCAATGATAAATGCTCAATAAACAAAATATAAAATAGTCTATTTTCACATTTAATATCTTTTTTATTTCATATTCATGCTCATTGGTAAATAAAATTTTAGGTCTAAAATCCTTCTCTTAGATTAATTTTAAAGGAGACCGCAAACATCAAAACCCTTCTTTCTTCATATATATATGATAATTCATTTCAGGCCACTATGTAAGAAATTCAAAACTTTGTTCTCTAGAATTTCTTTTTTCTCTTTCAAATTTTTGTTTATAATCTTGGGCAAGTATATTTTTAGAATGAGTAATGAACTTATGAAACCCTTCCACATCAATGCGGGTACGATTCCAAGAGATCACCATTAAATTTGACACAGATATCTAAAAAAGTTATCACATAGATGTGAGACTTGATTTTTTTAGAGATCTGTGCCAAATTTAATAGTGATCATTTTAAATCCTACACACATGAGTGTGAGGGGGTCTCACAAGGTCATTTTCCTTTTAAAATAGTATTTATCATTATTTTTATTTTATTTTTCTAAGTAATCCAATGAAAAAGACAGGCCTTTACCCAAATTTTTCAAATAATTTAAGAGTTAATTTTTTAAAAATATTACTAGAGGCCAGTAAAAATGGAAACAACATTGCCCCTTTCGTATTCTTACTAGTTGGAACACGAAAAACAGAGAAAACGTTGGGCCTCTTCGTATTATGAGGGGAACTCGGGGCTATTTGAGGGGAAGTTGACTTCCACAAAGTCGTAAGGGAATACACGCTAATGGCCTGAAGGACAAGCGGCAATTGGCCAGGTTTTCAGCAAACTAGAGCCCGAGCCATGGATGTGGCGAGGGGCGGGCAAGGTTCAAGCTAATAAGGATGGCAACGGTTCGGCACGGATGGATCCGGACTCAGACCTGAATGGTATTTAGGTCTAGGTTTTGGACCCAGACCCTACCTGTTGGGTCCAAAAGTTGTACTTATATCTTTATTAGTCGAGTCTCGGGTCAGATTGGCTCTATTGCCATCTTCACTATGGGTTTTTTTTTTTTACTATCTTATACCTATATTATTGACAACAACGTTACAATCACCTGCCGATTTCAAGCCGTTTGAATTGTCTAAAGATGACTACAAGTTCTTATTGTATAAGATCCTTAATAGACCCAAAAGAATAGGGTTAGAGGTATTTTATCTCTAATAATTTATGGGGATGGGCCGAGTCCAATTGGACCCAAAACCATATCCAAATAGTGTTTGAGTCCTAGCTTTAAATCATAACCCGACTTTTTGGCTCCAAATATTAGGCTCATACCCAAACCTATGTCGGGACGGGTCCTGGGTTGGATAAAGGTCCATCACCACCCCTAATAAGGCTATAGAGATGGGATAGGTTGAGGCTAGGGCAAGCTTGATTGAGCCCGTACTATCCTTGTTTCCCTTATTTTTCCTTTTTTTTAGATGTGTTTGTTTTGGCACTATCAGGCCAACCCGGGCTTCTTTGCACCAGTCTAAGCTGGGTCGGCTCTTATTTGCCGTCCACGAGTTTGGCCAAGGCTTTGTCCTTGACTGGACTGAGCCGCATTTTGATTGGCCCTATAAGACAGGCCTAGGTTAGGGCTGACATGACCTGACCTGGCTGATTGTGAAATCATGTGCTAACGTCGGCCTCGGGGCTGTAGATCACAGCGAGAAAAGTGGCACATTCCATGGAAAGAGACATGCAATTTCATAGGCTTTTTGACCTCGGCTCAAATTTCAATGATTTAAAAAAACGAAAAAAAAACTGCACGTCTTCTCTTCGCCCCCAATCTACTACAATAAGGTCAATGACTCGGAAACGGGCGGTTCGAGTCCACCGGTTTCCCGTACTAATTCGATCGAATAGTACTTATAAGTGATGACTACATGTCATTGTTCGCAAAATCGTTCTATCTAATAGCTAACCGCTCGGTTAAATGGGAACCAACTAGTGGCCGGTTCAGGTTTAGACCGGCTAGGGTGATCAACTGGGATTTTTAAAAAATGATTTAAAAAAGCTGTATATAAATTCTCAAAAATAAAAATTTTGATTTGTAATGTATTTTTAAATAGTCTTTATATTATGGTAAATATTAAAAATTGTTTTGATCATTAATACTCACTTTTATATTTTTCCATCTTTTTTAAAAATTTTTTAAATAATCATTAGAAAATATATAATGTGTTAAAATCAATCTTTTTATTAATTTTCAATTTTATTTGAATGTGTTTTGTTTCAATCATTCTTTATATATTTTTTATATTTTAGTATATTTTTTTTATATTTTTTTAATACTTTTTTGATTGCCTGGGACTTGTTTGGTTAGAACGGTTGAATTAATCGATTAGGCTGGTTAAATCGCTTCCTGATCCATTTCTGGTTAACCGTTTCGATTCGATTTTACGAACACTTCTCTCTGATGACAAAAGCATTTAGATTGCATTATATTCGTTCATAAAATGGGTTGCATGTGCCCTTGGCTTGCCACTATACTCACGTGGCAACTCACATATCTACAGCTGCTGTTGTTAAGTCATATTGTGGCTTTAGGGGAAAGAAAAATATCTCACATTCCTCTATCCTTATATAAATTGATATTGTTCCACCCAGTGTTCGACAAGACAGCCAGGCTGAACCGTGATCGGAGGATGGTCAACTATCCACTATCCTATCTTAAAAAAAGGGTAAGTATTTTTATATTTTATATTTTTAATTTTTATATCTCAATAGATCAAAATATTCAAAATATATCACCGAACCTCGCGACTAACTTTACCCATTTTTAACTATTTTTTTAACCTTAACAAATATAATAAAGACCTGCTCATTCTAAACTTTTTCTCTCGTTATGTGATATATTCTACCAAAATTTCTCTATCTAACATTCATCCTCTTTATCTCTCTAACGGGAGAGAGAGTAAGAAAATAGGTAGAGACAAATTTAAGAAAAAATCACGTGAAAGAGAGAAATGATGGTGTTTAAAAAGGATATGTTTTTTTTATATTTGTTTAGGGCAAAACAATAAGTTTAAAAGCGATAGAGTTAGCTTAAGGAGTTAAAAAATATAAAATGTATAATTTTTATGATTCAATACATGTTTTAAAACCTTGGGTCTATCGAAATATAAAACTTAAAAATGGGGAGTATGAAAATATTTTCTCTTAAAAAAATTTAAAAAATTAAAAATAATTTTAAAAATACGATATTTGTTTGTAATAATTTTTCAATGTTTTCAATTGTTTTGAAAAATATTGGGAAGTATTTTGGCCATAAAATACTTATGAAAAAATATATGATAGGACCATTTACTTTTAGTACAAAGTAGTCACAATTAATCTTGACCATTGGATGTGAAATTGGATGGTTGTATTTATTTCATTGACCAAGTTCAAAGCTCAAAAGAATTTTTCTCGAACTTTGTAACACACCTAAGCTGTCAGATTTCGCATCAGATTATTGTAAGTAATTGTGACCTCCATGTACCAAAAGTCAATGGTCTCATTGTATGCAATCCCAATACTTATTTTATATTTTCTAATCTTCTTTTGCATTATTTTTAAAATACATCTAGGCACTAATTGATATTTTTAAATCCATTTTCTTCACTATTTTTTTCTTATCTCATTTGGATGTATTTTGTTTAGTTATACTTTAAACATATTTTTCATATTTTTTTGAGATTATTTGAGTTTTTTTTAGAACTTTTTAGCCCTGTCGGGAATTGGCAGGTTAAGCCGGTAAATCGGACCAGTTTTGGGTTACTAAGATCCAGCACATGGCTAGGGTTCCAAGGCCGGTTTGTGTAATCGAACACTGGTTCCACCAAGTGTCATTAGAACCGGTTGGGAACACTGTACAGGTCAATCCAATCACTTAACACCAAAAGGATTTGTTCCGCTAAAATGAGGATAAATTTGAAAAACCTTTAATATATTTTAGGTTTTTAACTTGTTTTCATTGGTTCAACCAGTTTGATGATCAACAATTGAATCATTAATTGAACTAAACCGAAGGCCCACAAATACGATATTGTTCTGACATTGCAAAAGCCCCTAATTGATGTATTGACCTCGAGATGCATGATATCGAACAAAAACTTAATTTCAAATCTTGAAAATAGCGCATCTTGTAGAGTATTATTTGATTAATCCCTTTTCAAGATTTTTAAGTGTTTATAGTGTCTTTTCGATCTACACCATTTTAAAAATTTAAATTTCACGATTAATGACAAACAATTTTTTAGGCCATCACAAAGCTTTTTGACACCAAAATTACATCTTTTAATATAATTTTGAGATACGTCTTACTTGGATTGTTTAAAGTTGACGGCTTGTACAAACCCCACTTATGATTAAAATGAATAGAATTCCCATATCATTACGTTTCTCCTTGTTTTTTATTCTAAACATTTACATATAGTGGTGCTCGAAAATAAGCAATCAAATGATTGACAATGTTTACCATTTCTAATTTTCCTTGATCATCCATTTGCATACCTGTGCCATTCTACAGAGTAATTATGCATCATATGAATCATCATCATAATCCAAGCCTTATCCCAACTATTTAGGATCGGTTAGGTGAATTATATTATATATTAATTCAGGATTCATGAAAAAATGTGGCAAAGCTTTACACTGGCTGCCCCACTTAACCTAACCCCTCTCCTTTATTTGGGCTTGGGACCGGCATGACCAGGTTGGGACTGGCCATGGTAGAATTATACATCGTACGAATTACAAAAAGAGTTAGGAATATATAGTTCCTCAATCAAAATTACTACTTATAAGGTCTTTATGCAATGTTAAAAACACAATCTCGTATAGGACCCATGTTCGAGTCGTAGTCAAGTTTGTCAGAGACTTTGTTGAGTGTATCTACAATTTTAACAAAATAATAAGAACCAAACGATACTCAGCCGAGGGTTATATAGTTCGGAACCTAGAACCCTAGAGCTAGGGTGACTCTCATCTTAGTCGGAGTGGGCTCACCCATATTTTTAAATCCTAGAGTTGGGGTGACTCAGCTAAGTCGACATGGACTCGTCCGGGTTTTCGAATTTGATTGCAGTTTATTTTTCTTTTTTAACCATCCATTTGAATGAATATTAAGTAGCAAATTCTCTTTGCAAGTGGGAGAAAGAAGCCATATCTAGATCAAGCTAGCACCTGGTTGGCAAGCCCATTCACAACTAGACGAGTTATAAAGAGGTTCTATTTTTAAAACATTGACTTTGACTTTGCAAGTTCATGAAAATTTAGAGACGTGCCCAAAATTGTACTCTATTCTATGTCCTATAATATTTTATTGAAGATTGGGAGATCGTGTTAAAGTAGACCTACGCCGGAGGAACCTCCCAGTCAACTTGAGAAAACCAACTGGTGGAAATTAAGGAAATGAAAAATAAGATGAGATCCCATTTTTGTCCAAAACGAAATTCATACAAATGCGTAGTGTAAGTGTTTGAATTTAAACTTGGGCTGCCTTCATTGGAAATTTGATTTATTTAAGAGCAAACCTATAATTTTGGAGACATTGAAAAATCGAAGTCAGGCATGGGCTTCAGTGGTTAGCAGTTGATGTGAGCATTTCATCATCATCAGATCTTTTTTTTTTTAAGATTTCGAAAGCATGTTTTTTGTCCACCTAGCTCTAATTCTATACGTGGCATCTTTTTCAATCTTTTCATTTTCTTGGATTATCAACCCAAGTTATCAAAAATACAGTTTTTTTGGTAGTTTTTTGTCGTTGGTCTTGAGCCTTATCTACTTCCACATATCTACTCCAATTATTACTAAACTTGTATTCCATAGTTGATGTAAGCAATTCTACATCTCAAATTCAGATCCTCTTGCTGCTAGTGAATGACCCAAAACAAAAAATCAAAAGACACACACATATATATGCTCCTGCTGGATCATAGTGTACAATTATTCCTCTGGGTGAAAGATAATTTTTCTATCTAAATTTTTGGGATACACCTAAGATTCAGCAGGTGATTGTTTTAGGAAAAAGAGAAAATTTGGATTTTTGGCTCTTAAACCCTTAGATCTGTCCAAGATGTAATGGTCTTGCTAAATCTTATTTAGTTACTCTCCTTAAAGTGCGTTTTATTTTTATTTTATATATTTCTTTCATTGGAGGTTGATCACTTCCTCAGATTTGGGGTCATCTAAAAATTCCTCGATTGAGTTTTACCCGCAGGATGGATAGAGGAAGTGCTCCCTCGGGAACATGAAGTCTTTTGACAAAATGTAATTTGCCCAATTTCCTCGCTCTTGCACATACACATTTACTCCATCCATTGATGCACGTTCCTTCGTGTTTTTGGGTTCAAGCACATGAACTCCCCACTTTTTGTTGAATAAAAACAATAAAAAAAGATTGGTGGAAGTCCACCTTCTGACTTTTCCTAATAGAAAAATTAAGCTACAGCTAATCATGAACCTCAATTAGTGTAATCAATGGACCAAAGTTGAGAAAAATATGTTCGATCGAGGGTGGGGACTCTCGTATAAATACCCATTCTCATAACCAATACTTGAATGTCAGAACTTGTAAGATTAGGTGAGCATGTATCCCAATGGCGACCAAAACAAGGGCAATGTGCCCCCCCAATTTACTCCAATGCAAACCCTACCTCAAAATTTTTCCCCTTGGTCCACTGGACTTTGCGGTTGTTGTGAAGATCCAACTAACTGTATGTTCTCTCTCTCTCTCTCATGAGATTCTAGACTTCAAAACCATTATCATTTTGTGACTCCATGCAAATGTTAATGAGCAACTTTAGTAGATATTTCCTTGCACATGTTTTGGACTTTGCACACAAAAAATAGGAAAATACGAAATGGGTCAATTTTGGGCATAAATTACACGGAAGGTTGGTCAACTCGTGTTTTTTTTTTATATTTTCAAATTGCCCCTCTGTCTAAGGACGGCCACTTTTTTATTTTTTTTTAGTTTTTTTTTGTTAGTAGGCCAGAAGGCAATCCAAGGTTGGCATCCTTTGACCACCTTATTTCTTAGCAAATAAAGCAGCTAATGCGGTCTGAGGATGCCAACCTCGAACCGCCCTAAAGAGCAACAGAGAAGGCGGTTCGAGAATGGGCAACTCAAGCTGCTTCTGAAGGCTTAACAAAGTCAGTCTTTGCGGTTCGAGGATGGCAACCTCATACTGTTTTGAAGAGCACCACTGAAGGCGGTCCTATGATACTAATATCAGACCGACTGAGCACCACCCCAAACATTAGGGCATAATCCTACTTAAAAAAAAAAAAACAAACAAAATAGGAAGCAGTTAGAGGATGGTATCCTCGGACCAATGGAAAATTCTGAAAAAAAAATAAAGACCTATGTTGACCCACATTTTGTAATTTTAACCTACAATTGACTCATTTCGGGTTTTTTTTTTTTTTTTGTCCATACGTAATTCACTCTTGTTTCTACCCTACAAAGTTGAATCTATTTTTGCAAAAAATGAAGTTATATAGATAATTTGCCTTCCAAATTCTAGTTTGCATTTGTGTAGTTCCTTTTGAACTTTCATTTAAAGCTCGTTTACATTTCTTCATTTTGGTAGTTGTTCAGAACAAAATGTGATTCATTTTTTCCTTCCACGTCTCAAGGTTTCACCACATGCTGCTGCCCTTGCATCACATTCGGGAGGATTGCCGAAGTAGTAGACAGAGGAACCACTTGTAACTCCCCTTCTCTCTCTCTCTCTCTCTATATATATATATATATATATATATTACGTCTTCTTCCTTCCTTCTCTCTCTGTAAATTACGTCTTCTTCTTTCCTTCTCTCTCTCTCTAAATAACCTGTGCTTCTTTGATATTGATCTTCATGAGGAAGTCTCTTGCTTGATTTCAGCTTGTGCGGTGAGCTCGTCCTTGTTTTGTTGCTTGTTGTGGTTCACGTGCTGCCCTTATCTGTATTCGTGCACCTATCGGTCTAAGCTGAGGGGGCAGTTCAATTTGGAGGAATCGCCTTGTGCTGATTGCCTTGTTCATTGGGCTTGTGGATATTGTGCTCTTTGTCAAGAGTATAGAGAACTCAAGAACCGGGGCCTTGATCCATCCTTTGGTATGTGTTTTTTTTCCACACATTCTGTTCTCTGTCTCTTAGGGGTGGCAATGGACCCGGACCGACCCAAGACACGAGTATGAGTCCAAAAATTGGACCTAGCAGGTTGGTTCAAGATCCAAATCTTGGACCCGAACACTATTCGGGTCCATGTCTAGGTTCAGGTTCGACCCATTGCCCCTCTCTCTCTCACAGATCCAGGTCCGACCCATTGCCCCTCTCTCTCTCACACAGATCCAGGTCCGATCCATTGCCCCACTCTTTCTCTCTTTGGGTAAGTGCACATATTCATATGTTTATATTCAAGAAAATGTCTAATATATTTTTTACGGGTAGCGTTTGTAAAAATGGCCAATATTATACTATACAAATAAGGTGCACCTGTGGATTTTGTTGGAAGATATATTTAAAAGGTACGATAGTTTGAAAATCTATAAATTTAAAATTCCAAACATTGTACGGATCGAGCAGATATATAGACATTTGAAAATATTGAAAATAAATGGTCGAGATAACTTGTTACATAATGCATTATTTTTAATACTTAAAATTTTTTTTTCTTCTCTATACCTATACATCTTGAGGTCAAAATGATTAATTTGAGGGTTTTGCCAACTTCATAACACTTTGCTCTACTGGATATTTGAGGTGCACTTTAGTTCTATAATGTAAGGTTGCAACATTATAAAAACTTTTTTATTAGTAAAATTAAAACCTTCAATACTTTCCCTCCTTCGCTTAAGCATCGTTATCAAATTTGGTGAGAAATTCTTTAACTTAAATTTTTACATGAACATTATTCATTCTTAATGCAAAGTATCTACAAGCTAACAAGGCGTTTGTTTTGCGTAGGGTGGCAGGCAAATGCAGATAGGATGAACCGTGGAGTTGTGACCCCACCAGCGATAGAAAATGGCATGAGCCGTTAGATCTTGATCTTTTGCTCGCTGCAACTTTTGACAATTAAGATCCCTATTTATATGAGGAGTAAATGCGATGACAGAATACTGTGAGCATGTGAATCATCATCATCAATATCATCATCTTCTTCTTTGCACTCAACTTTCACCTTGTTTTCTCTGTGGGCTTTTATTTTTCTCTTCTTTCTTATTGTTTCTCTCTTCCTTTGTTACTAGTTTGAATAAATGCCCATGCAATATACGTTGTGAAAATATTTGCATCGTGCACTGATTAGTTATTTATGAATCTGTATATTTTTATCTTGACGTGTGAATCAAGGCCTCTAAAGCATTGATACCATTGATGTAGGGTCGGTGAGGTTTCTGGGATTGATGTGTTACTTTCGAGAGTTAGGATAGGTCAGTTTTGGATTTAGGGAGTGCTCCTCCCTATTTCTTCATCTTGCACTATTGTAACTTAGGAGCTTTGCTCCAATATCTAATAAAAATTGCTGTTAACAATAATAATAATAATAATAATGATAAGCTAACGGTAAGGAAAATTGTTTCATGCGGGCTGGACTGCATGACTAAATATGCGATTCAAAAAGTATTAAGCATCCATCTTAAAGATGGATTAAGTCAAAAAATCCATCTCAAAAATAGATTTATTAAGAGGCAAGCATTTCTACTTATGTGGGCTTGACCGCATAAAAACCACCTCCTATCGTTTTTTTTTTAAGAGAAGTTATCTAACTTTATTGAAAACTAATCGAAGGAAATTACATTATTAGAGACAATAGCTTCAGAAAAAAAAGCACCCCCCTTGGCCAGTGAATCTGCCAGTCTTCCCTGTAAACATTCAAAAGGAAATGGAGAATGGTCTAGCCAAATCCAAAACTTGCAGTAACATAGATCCAAATCCCAAAGGATCTTCTGCTCTCCTATGCACCATTTGATCACATTCAGTGAGTCACCTCCTATAGTTAAAGCCTTCCATTTATTCTATTATGAAATATCACCTTTTTAATGTTAACTTTGGCCACTATTTCTTGAAATAATGGCAACAGAGGTGCCTAAAAATGTTGTTAACCTTAATAGGCATTTTAGAAATAAAAAAAGAAAAAACAATAACCAATCAGCATTAATTTCTTAATATGTAACATTGGAAGCCCCTCATAGAATCACATTAGGGTGGAGAATATACGTGGTGTGGATCTGAAACCCAAATTTCGGACCCTATTCGGATCTGAGTATAGATTCAAGATTTTGATACAAACGGTCGCATTCAAATGCAAAATTTGGATCCAAATAGTAATTTGCATCGGATCTGGGTACAAGTGAATCCGATTTGGATCCAACGTAGTTATTAAAATATTATATATATATATATATATATATATATATATTACGGGTGTGGTTTCTATAAAGGTTGCAACCTTAAACAATCCATTTAAGGCGCACCTCTAAATTTTATCATAGCATGTAATTAGGTGTAAAAAATTCTTAGGATTATTTGAAAATCTATTTTAATTTGTAGTTATAAAATTTTAAACTCTAAAAATGATTAAAATCAAGTAGATTTGTAAACATGTGGAAGTCTTAAAAATAGACGGTCTAGATAATGTATTACAAGATGCATTATTTTTGGGACTCATAGTCTTTTTTTTTTTTCATATCCATACATCTTGATAGCGAGATAATCAATTAGAGGGTTTTTCAACATTAAAATAGCCTTTTCCGATGGACTTTTTCAGTGCATCTTCAATTCTACATTTTAAGGTTGCAACCTTACATAAACTTTTTCCATATATTATATAATATTTTTTTGTTATATAATATTTTATAGATATGAGCTAATGTATAAAATAATTTTTATGGATCCGATCGGGTTTGTATATAGAACCGGATAATATGTATTGTTTTTGGATCTAGATCTAGATCCCATGTATAATTTTTGGATCCAAATCCGGATCTCCGGGGATCAGGATCCGATCCAACCCATTCTCAACCCCGAATCCCATTTGACTTGAAAAAATGAAATGAAAAGGTTAAAGTTACCGTGATGTTTGAATCTAAGGTAAATTTGATTAAAATATTAAAGCTTTTTGGTGCTTTTAACTGGTGAATAAGGATATAAACATGGCTAGTACTAAATAATGTTCCATCTGTTAAAGGATGGCTTATGGTAATTGTTAGATTAACGATGCCTGCTTGAAAGCCATGATAAGTAACTGCCTTTTAATTGTCCTTCGCATGTGCTCGATAATAGCCGATGGACGGTTGTTCCTCGATTACGTGCTATATACCAATGTACCTAGTTAATTGTGTATGTTACAGTTTTCAGATGTTAAACACATAGGGGTTGGGCTTAAATTTGGAATTGTCTTCATCATCATCGTCAAAGTTTTTTTTCAATTAATTGGAGTTGACTACTCAAATTTTGGTCCGCCATTCTGTTCTATTAACCGTCTAAAAAAGGGATTGTATACTATTAAAAATATTAAGCCTCAGTATAAGATGTCACAATTACTCTTTCCCATTGGATGTGAAATCCAATAAAATAAAGTATGTCACGATATCCAAAAAATTTTATTTTTGACTTTGAGCCTAGTCTATGATACATCTCCAATCACCTGACTTTACATCTAATGGTCAATAATGATTGTGGCCTCCTTATACTAAAAATAAATAGCGTTATTTCATACATTTTTCTCTAAATAGTTTGAAGCAATATATGTTCGTTAAATGGCGATTTTATTTATTGGATGTGAAAGGAAACATTGCTTGATTATACATGATAAAGATTAGGCTTGAAGCATGGGCCCGGCGCCAAGCTTGAAATTTATACCCAATGTCTAGGCTAAGCCACACCGTAGGGTCCTCGGGAACCCTGGCTCACAGAAATAGGAATACCAAAAATTGGGATCCCACCCAATAACATGTACATAGTTGGCTAAACACAAAATAGATGAATACAACCATATATCAAGTGCAAGAAACAAAGTAAAAAATAAAATTATACAGTAAAAACACGTAGTTTATGTGGTTCACCCCATAAGACTACGTCCACAACCTTGGCATATAGAAATCCACTATCTCACTAAAGATTACGATTTTGGGTTACAAGGGATATATGCCTCTCTAGACATCGACAAAAACCTCATCAAACTTCTCTTCTAAATCCATTCTCCTGATCGAGAAACACTGTCGATCATCCTCAACTTTTCCACTGCTATACTGTTGCTAAAAAGAGCACCTTGAGAGCAGTGAAAAGACTTTTTCTCTCTAAAAATGATAGTGTAACCAACCTAAAACCCCATGGGAATACTGCCTCTCCAGTAGGCGATATCTCTTTCTTGGAGTCTCCTCTCTTATTTGGTGATCCATTCCCATAATCTATTAGAATGTGGCCCCCAAAAAGAGATAACTATTATGTCTTTTATGAACCCTTTTTATAGAGATCACTAGGCTTTTTTTCTTATTCCCTACAAAAGTATATATATTTTTTAACATAATACCCTCAATCTTATGAAAAAAATATCGGCGTGGCGATAGTTTTATCTATCACCAAATCTAACACATATATGGGTTAGGAATCATTGTTATAAAATATTATAACAATAGAATAATATCTACTATATTTTAAGCAAGAAGAGAACCTGCTCTATTTTTATGATACATGTCATCTCTCTCTTAAGAGGATATGCGCTACTGACACGTGTTATCTGCCTTTGTTTTTTTTTTTTTTGGGTTGTTAATAGTTAATCACACAGATACATTTCCACAAAAAGATTCGTTATTTCCTCCCCATCCTTAGTTTAGCTATAATTACAAGTGTCATCTCCCTTTTCAACTCACTCTTTTTTGGGTGATTAGTAGTTATGAATATTATAAAGAAACCTTTCCACCAAAAGACCCCTCATTTCTTCCCCATCCTTAAATTAGTCATAACTACCACTATGAAAAGAGATATATTTTTTGAAAAGGTACATCTATAAATAGTAGTTTCCAAACGTCTCATAACTACCACTAATTATATAAAATGTAGGATATGGACATTCTCAACTCTCATTCATTTCCTCTCTTTCCTCATTCTCTCTAATCCATTTATATCTATTTATCTACTACATTTTAAGCGAGAAGAGAACCTGCTCTATTATGACACGTGTCTCTCTTATTTGAAAATGTGTCTTAAAACTCTCCCATCAAAATTCAAACTTCGTGTAACTACTTTCATATAACCCATCTCTTCCAAAATATGCCTTAAAACTCTCCCATAAAAAATTCAAACCCCCTATTACTACTTTTATCTAAGGTATCTCTTCCAAAAGGTGCCTTAAAACTCCCACATTAAAACTCCCATTAAAACTATATTTCCTCATTCACTCTACTCTCACTCCTAAAGAATTTGGAGAACAGAAATAAATTTTTAGAATAAAGGCCAACATCAATGGCTCTAATTCTTCTTTAAATTTGGTATTACAAGCATTGCAAAAACCAATATATTGTACTACAAACGAAGTGAACAAATATAATTAGACTTTTTAATTTCATGAATTTGTTTGATAAAAAAAGATTTTAGTACATTTCTACACTGATAATTATGATGATCATATTTGTTAAATACTTTTATATATTTTAATGTTAATGATCACGATGGTGGTGATGGCTATATATATATATATATATATATATATATATATATAGTAGTAGTACGTACTACTACGTACGACGGTAACGACGTAACGTACGTACCGAACTAACGTAACGTAAAACGTAAAAACGTTAAACGTTTAAACTTTTAACGTTTTT